GCCATATAATATACCAATAAAACAGTTCAAGTATAACCATTGTAACATAAAACCATGGTTCATAAACCAGTAGTTTTCATGATTCATAAATCGGGAAAATTCATATTTTTCGGTGAAAACCATAATCAGAGATCACATACCATGTTGCCATGGTTCATAAACCAGTAAATCATTACTTGCGTTAAAACTCATTTCAAAACATATAAAACTGTAATGTAGTACATATGGAACACACTAGAGGATCCAAGTATTTTTGAAAGGCATTTGGTAGTTATCAGGATGGATAGCATGAAACTGATGTCATTTGATTAGATTCTATGAACAAAGTCCTATTGAAAAGAACTGATTACTAACTGATCTAATCAGCCATTTAAAGTTGATACTTTAGAGTCTCACTATGTTTTATGTGCATCAGGAAAGTGTTCATGTATGACCGGAGTGATTTGAGCTGATAAGGGAGAAACGAAGTTTCAGGATAATTACCATTTATATTGATCGATTGGATTATCGAACAACTCGAGCTTAACAACTCCCAAAACTGATGCTTGTCTATTGGTCAATTCATTACCCTTCCATGGTATTCACTCTTTAATACCAAAAATTCTTGTCCATAGATCATCTTCAGAATCATCGCTGAATAGATTTTAAGGAAATGAACATATATTCCAATAGTCTTTATTTCATTTCCACATTGCAACAACATCAGGAATTTTTGACGTAATTAATTCTTGGTTCATAACCCATAGGGATGATACATCATGTAAGTTCATTCGAGTTTCCAAACTTATCCAAATCACTTACTTAATCCTCATTCATTGAGGTTATTAAGTTCGTTTAGTAGTCACTTCTATCCAGGTTACTTCAGAGTTTTCCAGAGTAATTCGGACGTTTATGAATTTTGGATACATAATGTACTTTTGTTTAGTTCAATTTGGTATTTGTGGTTGATTTGTCTAGCGAATATCCACTTCTTAGTACCAAATACGCTCTAAATTTGAGTTGAGCTAAGTACTTCTAGAATTATCATCGATCCAAACTTGAGGAGACGAACAATGATTCAAGTGGTATCTATGCCATTCAGGTACTAACATAGCATTAGCGTTGGTCGACTCACTTAGGCTATGTTCCATAACTTTTAATGGTAGTACTACACCCATGTTTATTTAGATTCCTTAATTAATCCAAGACATTTACTTAGTCTAGGCCATAAGGGTATTTTGGTGATTTTGGTGCTCAATGTTAATCCAATCATTTCAAAGCTTGAGGATATCCATTCATTCCTGTGCTTGGTGATATTCTTGATTCATTTACATTCCAGTGGTATTTTAGTCATTCTACATATACAGGGTAATTCAATCATTTCCTTTCGTCTGATCTTATTATTTAATTCCAACTTATCATCTATTTCAGTCCTTTCGAACAATTCTGACAAAATAGCACCCTCAATAAATTATTCTTCAAGTATTTACTCATAACTCGAGATTTTTCTGGTCAAGTGCCTTCTCAGATGTTACAAACAAGTTACCAGGAATTTTCTATACAAAGACAGGATCTTAATAATTAAATCTGTAATTTATCGCGTTAAGTACGAATCCTCAAAGTACTTTCTTATTCAGGGTCAACTCGGACTATTTTTACCCCTCAAGGGCATTTTCATAATTTCTTAATCAGATAATTTCGGTATTAAAACTCTTAATAATGATAATTATAATTTAGAGATTCTAGGGTTAATCTCTTTCCCGAATAATCTCTAAACTTTAAATTATCCCTTAACAAACTTCTAGTATCTTGTACAAGCCATTTTTGGTTTAGAAATCGGTTATCCATATTTCCTAAGCAAAACTAGTATTTTCTGTACACATCAGTAGTTTCATCATATCAATATGTCTTTAAAAATTCTTATCCAACTTCCAGAGTCAATTCTTATCCTTTTTACAACATAAGGGTATTTTCGTAATTTTATCTTATTGAAGTATTCTCATAAAATTATCGCTTAAACCATATTCGGTTAAAGTCCAACCATAATCAAACAGACATAATAGTCCAATCATATACATCCATGCACTTTTCCAATAACAATATGTTCTATAAAGCATAAAGAGGTAGTAATGTATTACCTCGATTTTTGTGTCATATTGATCGACCATTTAAACTCTATTCGAACACCCTCGATCTTTAATTCAACTTCCAATAATTCCTCAAATACATAACAATAGAAATTTCATCAAAACGGAGTTTTATTCTGAAAAACGATCGAATCGAGTGATAAATTAGTGAAAAACTGCTTACCGGATTCAAATTTGGCAAAACGGACCTCAAAAACGGACCCATGACATCAAAAAATGTTAGGATAGGTATACCCAAAAAAAGTCAACGATCGGTCAACGCCGGTCAACGGTCAACGTGGTCAACGGGTTGGGTCGGGCAGTCAGGTCGGGTCAAACCGATTGACTATTTAAAGTTGTCCACACGCGCCGGACATTGCCCTCGCGCAGGGGCGGCGCGTACGGTGGCCTGGGAGTCCCGAAAAATTCTGAAAAAATTTTCTAAAATTATTTTAAGTCATTTTGAGACACTTACCAAGCTCAGTTCACATTTTTGAATGGCAGAGAGCTCGATTTCGAAACATCGAAAACTTTGACTTCCTCACCCCTTCACGCGCAGCCGACGACGCAATTTAGTCCATTTTATATTAATATCAGCTTCACATTTTATAATTAATTTAATTTCATCCCTCATCAATGTGTGTTGCTTAATTTATTCAATTTTTTATTTCCAATTCCATGTTTATTCAATTTGTTACTTTATAAACATATATAAAGTAAAAAGTAAAAAAAAAAATGACATGTAAGATACTCTCGTTAGTATGAGTCGACTTGTTTAAAATAATTGGATTAAGAGTAATACCCTTCCATTTTAAAGTCATTGTGAGGAGACTATCTCAACTTATAAGAAAGTCACTTCCGATGATTTTAAAATGAAAGCGTATCCCACAAGTGAAACCTTAAAAAAATGATTCCACTTAAAAATTTAGGAACGAAAGAATGAGAAATGCTCGTCTATTTAAATTCTTCGGGAAAAGATCATTAGAACTTATAAAAGGTTTGATCTCGACTATAAAATTATAATTAATATTATAAACATAATAAAAAAGTATAGCCTAACAATATTATAAAAAAAAAATTTATGAATTTGACTATAACCATTATTTTAAAAAATTATTAATAGCTAATGTACTATTATAGTTTAATTATTAAAGGAAGTCAAAGAGTTTTATGCTAGATTTGTTGAGTCCGACACATTTTCAATAAAAAATATCATATTAACATTCAGGAGGACAAAAAAGAGTAAACTATAAATTTTAGGCTCCAACAATCAACGACGACAACAGTCGATGGCGACCTATGGTGACAATGGTGAGTGATGGCAAATGACGAGAGACTTTAATTGAACTTAGAGGTTAAATTTATATTTTTTTTCTAAATTTAGGTGTTAAAATAATGTCTTCTAAAATTTAAGGTCAAATTAGTATTCTATCTAAAGTTCATAGTACAAATTAAAAATTAACCCTCTTTTATTTGTGTACCATGTCCTAAACTAACATGAGTTAACAATCTATGATGCAACTAACAAAAATTTGATAAATAAATAACGTGATTGAGCGAAATGTAACTTTTTAATTTAATGAGTAAAAATGTAAATATGAAAGAAATATAATTAATCTTTTAAATAAATTTAATCAAATCATATACATAATGTTTTAAATTTAGATTGCTTTTAAAAAATATATCACATTTTATCGTTAAGATTTTCATTAAATTCAATATACCTATTATTTTTACATGTGTCAAAATGATAAACGGCATCTTGATACATATTTTCTTTCCATAATACTCTCAAACTCTTGCGTGTAAAAATCTTTAATCGATAACTATCATAACCTGCAGAACAATTTCCAATAATACCAAAACGAGTAACATTCTCCCCAGCATTTTCTGGATTTTTCTTGCCAAATTCCTTATCAGTGGCATCTTCTCGCATCAACAACGACAATCGTTAACAGTAAATACTTTTGATCGTAGAATCAATCAAATGAGACGTCAAAGAAATTGGTTCATATAGGATGGTGAGAGAAATATATTTTGAAATAAAATGATTATTATAATGTGAGAAAGACGGCAGAAGTACAATATATCTTCTTCATATTTTATGTGATTGGAACATATAAAATAAAAAACACATTATGGTCGTTAAAAAAGATATATTATGATTGTCGCGTCTTTCTAAAGATACAGTATGCTCTCAACTCTTCTCGATATAACTGTTACAATTATTCAATCGCAAAAGATATTTTCATTTGATCAATTTTATCCTTTAGGAACTAGAAGATTCTGAACAACTTTCTTTTTCATTTTGATTTTTTCTTGATATTTGATTTTGTTAACATTGGGGTAATTGGTTACCATTTTACCGGATTTAATATTTTTTCCTTTTTCTACGACTCATCAATCTAATGTTCGATTTTCCTCTAATCTAACTGTCCCTTTAAATTTTCTTGAGGATAAATTACACTCTTAATCTAAACTATCAATTTTAATTCATTTTATTACCTAAATTTTTATTTTTTTTAAATCATACTTAACATCTAGTTTTTAATTTATTTTAATATCCAGTTAAATTTAATGTTAAGTTTTGAAAAAATTTAAAAGTTTAGATATTAAAACATACAAAAATTGATAATTAAAGTACTAAAAATATTAAATTTTTAACGACATGTATTAAAATGAAACAAAAATTAAATATTAATTTTAATTTTAAAAAAACAAAAAATTAAACACTAAAACTAATTAAAATTAATAATTTAAATGCTAAATTACTCTTTTCCTTGTTTTAACTGTTCCCTGGCAGTCTTCTGGAAACACCCCGCATTCTCCCCCTTTTTGTTGAAGTTGATATTCACATTGTCTGATGTCAATATATATATATATATATATGATATTCACATTGTCGGCCGCTTCAAATCCAATAAAACCCAAAAGCTACACGCACAAGGCCGTCCTTCAAACCCTAGATCAGAGAAACAACATAAGATTATAACAACAGACAGTACCAGAAGCTGAAAGATGTTCTTCTTCTTCGTGGGCGGATTAGAGCAACAGGCAAGACAGGTGCTGAAATCAGGTGTGGGGAGGTGCATAAACTGTGGTTCCAGAGCTGATCTTGTGGAGTACGAGAAAGTGTTGAAGCTTTTCTTTGTGACTGTTTGGAGATGGTCAGGGACAGACCCACTCATGCACTGTAACAATTGCAAGCTTTTCTTCCCGCAGGATCTGTCTCTTCCGATTGATAGCACCACCGCATCTTCTGCCGTGACACAGACCCTGCGTTGTCGTTCCTGCGATAGGCTTGTTGAGCCTGAGTTCAGATTCTGCCCCTTTTGTGGGTCTGCTATCTGAAATATTCCCTTTCGTTGAATAATCTTTAGGTGGGTATAAGGGGTGTAGACTGGTTTTGTGATTCTGCTTGTTTATGTTCTTTCTTGTGTTGATTTAGTAAATGGGTTTTGTTTTTTATTTTCGAATTTGGCATTGTGCAATCAACGATTTAATTGTTGATTTCAGATGAAGAGAAAAGCCAAGGAATCACCTTTCTAGTTTGTATCTATAACAGGCAAGAAATATTGTTTATGCTTTGGCAACATCTTCTCGGGAGCTCGACGACTAAAAAATGTGTCATCGATTAAATAAGTGATCGGATAAAATTTAGATCGATTATGTTATATCATTTAACTGAAAATATTATTAAGTACAATAACATATTAGGTAGCGCTTATATAATGTAATAAGTAGCGTTTATATAATGTAATAGGTAGCGCTTATATAATAAAATAGCATTTAACCGAAAATATTATCAAATACAATAACATATTAGGTAGCGCTTATATAATGTAATAGGTAGCACTTATATAATAAAATAACATTTAACCGAAAATATTATCAAGTACAATAACAGATTAGGTAGCGTTTATATAATATAATAGGTAGCATTTATATTGACTTATTTTCTAAGTAAACCGGTATATTTATACCAGTAAAATTACAAATTTACTTATTGCATTATAATTATCGGTTTCGATGTTTTTTAGATCGATACAATTTTAAATGTATCGACACTTTATGCATGCACCTCGTTGGCCATTCATTCTGGAAAAAGTATCGACACAAACTTAAAAAGTGTCGATAAATTATTTAGACATATTTTCTCATAAAACCGGTATATTTATATCGGGTACATTGTAAATTTACCTATCACATTGTAATTATCGGTTTCGATGTTTGTGGGATCGATACTTTTAATAAATGTATCGACATTTTATGTGAGCACCCCGTTTGACATTCATTATTGACAAAAAGTATCGACACAAATTTAAATAGTATCGATACTTTATGCTGACATATTTTCTTATAAAAATGATATATTTATACCAGTTACATTGTAAATTTATCTATTACATTATAATTATTGGTTTCGATGTTATTGGGATCAATACTTTTAATAAATGTATCGACACTTTATATTCTTAACAATAAGTATCGACACAAATTCAAAAAGTGTCGATACATTATCTTGACATGTTTTTTAATTAACCGGTGTATTTATACCAGTTACATTGTTAATTTACCTATTATATTATAATTATTGGTTTCGATGTTTTTGGGATCGATACTTTTAGAAAATATATCGACACCTATTTAGCTAGTTATTGTACATACATAAATATGTCCTGCGAATTTAATGTTGTAATATTATTAAGTACAATAACATATTAGGTAGCGCTTATATAATGTAATAGGTAACGTTTATATAATGTAATAGGTAGCGCTTATATAATAAAATAGTATTTAACCGAAAATATTATCAAGTACAATAATATATTAGGTAGCGCTTATATAATGTAATAGGTAGCACTTATATAATAAAATAACATTTAACCGAAAATATTATCAAGTACAATAACATATTATGTAGCGCTTATATAATGTAATAGGTAGCATTTATATTGACCTATTTTCTAAGTAAACCGGTATATTTATACCAGTAAAATTGTAAATTTACCTATTATATTATAATTATCGGTTTCGATGTTTTTTAGATCGATACAATTTTAAATGTATCGACACTTTATGCATGCACCTCGTTGGCCATTTATTCTTGAAAAAAGTATCGACACAAACTTAAAAAGTGTCGATACATTATTTAGACATATTTTCTCATAAAACCGGTATATTTATATCGGGTACATTGTAAATTTACCTATCACATTGTAATTATCGGTTTCGATGTTTGTGGGATCGATACTTTTAATAAATGTATCGACATTTTATGTGTGCACCCCGTTTGGCATTCATTATGGACAAAAAGTATCGACACAAATTTAAATAGTGTCGATACTTTATGCTGACATATTTTCTTATAAAAATGATATATTTATACCAGTTACATTGTAAATTTACCTATTACATTATAATTATTGGTTTCGATGTTATTGGGATCAATAATTTTAATAAATGTATCGACACTTTATATTCTTAACAATAAGTATCGACACAAATTCAAAAAGTGTCGATACATTATCTTGACATGTTTTCTAATTAACCGGTATATTTATACCGGTTACATTGTTAATTTACCTATTATATTATAATTATTGGTTTCGATGTTTTTGGGATCGATACTTTTAGAAAATGTATCGACACCTATTTAGCTAGTTATTGTACATACATAAATATGTCCTGCGAATTTAATGTTGTACTCACCCTTCAACTACCACTACTAATACCACATCCTATTGAAAGCACGACTAAAACATGTTCAATGAACCTTTACATACATCTCCATTAACTCCGGGACCACTGAACTTGCACAAAATTTTTTTTGCCATGGATCATACTGATGCAGACAATGTTAAGCCAACTGAGGAATGCCATGAAGTACATAATGTTGATGAATCTGATAGATTGGTTGTTCAGCTCTTCTCTTCACGTAATCAAGCTTGGTACTTTTACAAGGGATTCGCACGAGAACATGGGTTTAGTGCACGTAAGGGAACAACACGACTTGACGTGGAAAGGAATGTGAAGACACAAGAATTTTGTTGTTCCAAAGAAGGGTTTCAAGTATCAAAAGTTAATATTGTTGATCTTCAACGTGCTCATAGGTCAGTCACAAGAACAGGATGCAAGGCTAGAATCATAGTTATAGCAATAAATACAAACGATCAGTGGGTTATAAGTAAGTCTTATCAGAAAAATAATCATGCATTGTGCACACCTGCTATGACACCATTTATGCGTTCTAATAGAGCTGTAAGTAAGGCTGATATCGATGAGGCAACAACATTGAAACAGGTCGGTGTTGGAACGTCACAAGTAATGAACTATTTAACGCAGCAAGCATGAGGCTATCATAATGTTGGATTTACAATAACGACATGTACAATGAACTTCAAAGAGGTAAAGCAAAGGAAATCGTCGATGGAGATATGAATGCGCTTATTGCTTACTTTGATTATAAGAAACATGACGATCCCGAGTTTTTATGACATACTCGGTAGACGAATCAGGGGCATTGCATAATCTTATTTGGTCGGATTCTAGATTGAGATCAGATTACACATGCTTCGGTGATGTAATTGCGTTCGACACAATGTACAAAGATAATTTGTATGGTCGACCAATTATGCCTATTATCGATGTCAATCATCACCATAATACAATTGTGTTTGCCACTACAATAATCGCTGAGGAGACGTCTCAATCTTTCGAGTGGGTGCTACAGAATTTTTTAGAAGCCATGATGAATAAATCTCCTATTTCAGTTGTCACCGATAGGGATAGGGCAATGCAGAGGGATATCAAATCTGTTATCCCTTATACTAAGCACAGATTATGTTCTTGGCATCTTTCTCGCAATGCACAAGCTAACATTGGTGACCCAAAATTTACAGCACCATTCTCAAAATACATGGCTTCCTAGTGGACAACTGAGGAATTTGATATTCAATGGCGTTCGGTTGTTTCAGAATTTAACATTGAAAAGCATCCATGGGTGATTGAGAAGGGAAATACTCGACACTTATGGGCACAAACATATCTAACTGGTCATTTCTTTGTCATATTCGCTCAACACAAAGATGCGAGTCTATGAATGCTTCACTCGTGATTGCATTGAAACACAAGAAGACATATTTAGATGTTATTCGTGCAATTGAAGATGGGATTAGTATAATGTGTATGAACGAGTTGAAAGCGAATTACTTAAGTTCCCAGACGAAGCCCTTCCAGATCACAAAATTGGTCGACCTTGAAAGTCATGCTACTGAGATTTTTACCCGCGAATCTTTTCGTTCGTTCTAAGATGAACTTCAACGGGAGGCATTGTACTGGATTCAGGAAGAGATTCAGTCCTTATCAGATGAATGTCAACATTATATTTTGACAAAGTACAAAAAAATAATAGGAAATTTGAAATTAGTTTTGATTCTCGTACGGAAATCTTAAATTGCTCCTGCAGAAAATTCGAGATCGTTGGACTTCTGCGTCGCCATCAACTTCACATTTTGAAGCACTTGGATTACACATATTTTCCCGGGACTTTGATTCAAAATATGTGGACTAAGGATGTGAAGGCTTCTGCACCCAATTTTGTTGACTTGAATGTGCCTCCAGAAGTGATGCAAATGGCAAGGTTCGCTGCTCTACGTTCAACGTCAAGTAGGTTTTGCTACATTGCATCAAAGACAGACGCGTCTTTCAAAACCGTAAGAGATGAGATGAAAAGACTAACAGAAGAATTTAAAAACTCATTTGGTTTGAATGATTCAGTCAACCAGAGCAGTGTAGTAAACAACGTTTGCAACCTTCAACGAAAACAAAGCAAGCGAAAAGAAGTATCGAAAAACAAGGTCGAGAAGAAAATTAGGCGATGTGGGTACTACAACGGTGAGGGACATAACAAACTAACATGCAAGTCAAGCTCAGTTTGAATACAAGCACACAGCCTACATCAAATAATTTTTTTGAAGACGGAATAGAATGGCCATTCAGTCCCGCACGTGATGACAACGATCTCCATATATCATAAGTATCAACATGACTCCTACTCTGTATAAGAAACATGTACAATAACCTATTGCTAACTTTTCTCATCTCATACATAATTACATATAATTATTAAAGAACTGTTTTATTCAGTTATTGAAGAATTATTCTTAATTTTATATAAGGATAGTTGTTATGATATACGTTCATGTTTCGGGACCAATTAGTTAGATGCATGCAGTAGCCTATATCCTCGAGGAAGAGCACAAGAAATCTGGCACTTAAATATTTACCAAGAGAAGTAGCTTTTGCTCTGCATGAAGACTAAACCTAGAATCAACTTTGCAATTATGCTTATCATGCTAAAGA